AGAGAGGTTTACCATGACGTTCACGGCAACTGAACGCCAAACGGCAGAAAAGATCACGTGATCTGTTTTTTTGGAGTTTAACATTGCAGTTTCAATGCGAGAGCGGGTTATTTTGAGGTTGCCATAATCGTGAAAAGCCGCTCTTTCAAGTGACTACCAAAAGCACAAGGTCGGGCACGAAATTCTTAGGTCATTGGTTCAGCTCTGCCGTTAGCCGTTTGCCGTCAACGTGATGCTAAACCTCTCTAATGACAACCATTGTACAGTTAATCGTCAGTACTAATCACATATACTTTCACTAGCGTTGCCTGTGGTTTTGGTGGAGCTCTCTTTGTATATACACACCGCAAGATTGTTAACCTTGTCAGGATGCATCGCAAGACGAAGGTTGCAAGATTTCTACAAAGCAAGTAAGTTAAACAGGCAATTCAGCAATACGTTTTACAGTTCCCGTCGGCATTACGAGACAGCAGTTGAGCTTGCATTGATAGGTACATGTACCAGTGAGTGACACTGGTGAAAAACGCACTGCGCATGTCCACAGCTTTCCCGCTGAAATCTGCGTAATTTCCTTTGTAAAGCGATTTTTGTGATTTATAAGCTCCTTCACCGACATATAAGATTCATATTTCCGTCAATCATAGTTCATGATAGGTCCGTTTAGTATGTAGTTTCTATTTTTATCTTGTTATTTCTATTTTGAGAAAATGAGGTTTTTCGTAGTGTTTTCTGTGTTGTCGCTGTAAATCGCCAGGCGCTCTGATTTCAAGATTTCAGATTTCAAGACGCGAGCGCCCACTGGCGGGAAAGTTGTGGGCATGCGCAGTGCTTTTTTCACCAGTGTCACTGTGAGTAGTTGTCTTAGGTATCTATCGCTGCAGGCTCAACTCCTGTCTTGCTTTGATGCAAAGGCTTGGCTACCTTTCAAGATGGCGCTCCCAATGGCGTATTATCTCTGTTTTTTTTATCACTAACGAATTTTTTGTTTGATGTTCAGCCGGTTCATTTATCCAGCTCTCGTAACGTTTATCATCGCAACGATAACTTTCCCGCAAGGAATGGGGCAGTTCATGGCGGGCTCGGTAAGTACGCAAGGATCAGACTATTAAATTGTGAACGAGTTCGATTTGTATGTCCTTTTATTGACACACTCTTGAAGTCCTAAATCCTTCAAAACTCAAGTGCATTCTTTCGCACCGCAAATGGGTTCAATGCAAAGTTTTGAACGTTTTACGACGCGAAGAGTGTGTCAGTAAGAGGACTTATAAAACTCATTAATATTCATAAGGCAAAACACAATAGAAATCATAGCCCATGAAGAGAGTTGTATATTACATACAGATTTCTTGTTCATTTGCATAAACTTTAACTCTGATTTTCTCGGTCAGATTGATTTTTGTTTCTTTAAA